TTAACTAGAAACGAATTTTGTACACTATTTGCGCMAATGTTTGCCAGCGGAATTTAAGATCTTTTTAAAAAAATTTTAAATTTCTATAACTAATAAAAAAAATCATAATTCATGGCTTATTTTTTAATTTATATTCGTACTTATTATGTGGAATCTGAGTAAATATTTGGGAGGAAGGGGGCTAAGCCCTATTTTGCACTACGCCATAAATCATATTTTTGACATATTAGATTTATTTTGTACCTACTGTATTTTTATGTTATATTATAAGGGCGACTATAAAAAATATATCAATAATTCTATGGTTTTCAATAAAGTGTAGGAAATATAAAGGTTGTAAAATGTGTTGTAGATTATTAAGATAAAGTAAATAAATTCGGTCTTATATTAACCATTCGAAAATGAATATCACTAAACTTGTACCAAGTCCGCATATTAATATTATAAACGCACCCTGTAATTCATCAACACTCAATTTCTTCACTTTAATGGTTCTTTCTTTATTTATTGGATGCGATGGTGTTGCATCTTGTCTCCATTTATCATGCAGCCCAGTTTCATATGCAGTGATCTGGGCTTTCGATAGTATGCCTTTGTATGGATTCCCCTTTTGCATAAATATCCCAATGTTGTACACAATAACCATTTCTTCCACTTTATTGACTTTCTTGATCGAACCTAAAATCAAAGCCTCAAAATGATCTTCTGGGTCAAGTATAATGATATCTTTTTTCTTCAAAAGTCTTTTTGCAGATACCACCATATCTATACAGGGTGTATATTCGGTCAAGTTGAAATTTTCTTTGTCCATCGCATGCGCGATCGGTATAAAAGTTGGTACACTACATATTGTAAGTCTGGACTTCCTAACGTCGTTTATGGTGCGCATTGGAGGTTCGTACTTAGGTTTGTACAGGTATATCAGTTGTATTGACGTGTACACAGCACTTATGTGCAATATATATATGGCCCATGAGAGAAAAATCATTTTTGACGACATCGATGTGGGTTGCTGTCCACTAGCTACGCTGCATAATATGGCCCAAGAAATGATGAGACAGTAACCATAGTCGGTAAACCCACGTTTCTCCGACGGTAAACTAATACCGGACAGCCATAGCAGAACAGATGTTAAGAAGAAAACGAAGAATAATGTTAGCCAAAAGTTACTGGAGAATATCTTTAACATGTTTTGCCAGTACGGCAACTTCCTCGGCAGTGGTGTGTAAATTGAAAATCGAACGACTTGACGTGCCGGCGAAGAATCGAACATTTCCACACGTTCAGCTGTGAGAATTCCACCGCCTATTAGRAAATCCGCTCGATGTTTGCTCAACTCGCCAAACCCGCCATTCCAAGTTCCATTCAATAACTTGACACCCCATCGTTGATTTTTTTTGACCTCGTGAAACTCAAGCTTAACGTTCCCTATCCGACCCATCAGCTTGATCACCTCGACGTCCATGCCGTGTAACATTGTCCTAGGCGTCTGATTCGACAGCAAAGTCATTGGTGGCCAATTAAACCCGACTATCTTCACTGTACAGTTGTAGAATGTGTCGGGTATATTTTTTTTAAACTTGTCAAGAACAGTCCATAAACTGTTATTGCCTCTCCATGTACACAAATTTATCAGCGTCGGCGTGTGGTACTCACCACACCTTTTCTGAAACGGATACCAATGAAACGCTTCAATTGTATCGCCGTTGATTGTCGGTATCAGTAACACAGACTTGAATATGTTGTTGAACCAGAATCGCCGAAATACCGGTTCTACTATATGTTGAGACAGCTCGGTGAATGTTTCCAAGATCACGACGAAATTCACTTCTGGTCGCCACAACGCGTCCGTCACATTAATCGTATCCAAATGATCGATCAAATCAGATGTGTTATGCGCGGCAACTAGGTAGGCGTGTGGCAGAATATATTGATTTGGGTTAAATAGTTGAATATGAAATTTGTTTAACAACAACGCAGGCTTATAATTTTGGTGCATGGAAAACAGCAGTTCCGATCGAAAGTTACGAGTGACCCTCGGACTCATCGTCACATAAACCGTGGTTACCACAAGATTGCTTACGTTCAGCAACTGCACAGCACATTGTGCTAATAGATTTGAGTCACATCCAGCGTAAGGCACGGTCCAAACGAAAATTGCAACAAAAAGCCTGAAACAATTATTAAGCATGGTCTCGTTTATTGTACGCGTGTGCATGTGTTCAGACTGATTTGGAGTAATTTTATTACTGTCGTTTGTCGTTGGCGCTCAGTAAAAACAATTAGTGTAATTTATTAATTATTTTCCGGCCCAATACGTTCTGTAAACATTTTGACAGCGTGAAAATATATTAACGCTGATGAAGGGAGAGGAATAAAAAAAATCACGAATTTTTTTAATGACACAATTATTATTTAGTTGATGAGAATTTAATTTTCATACACAATACACTTTCTTTGATATTATTAAGCAAACCATAAAGTATATATAACCATATAATTATTAGTAGGTAAATGTATAACAACATTAGTTATAATACATTAGTTATACACTGCTCTGAAATATGTCACTCTTAATGAAAAATAATATTTATTAATAATATACATTCAATGCGTTATAATTTCAGCTGTATATTTTGTGTCCAATTTTTCTTCCGATATGCGTTTTAACATTTATGACTTATCATAAGTCACGTTATATTTTTATTCAAACCCTTTCATTATTAATATACTATTAAAACATTTTAAACGGAGCCCATAAATTGTTATTCATTATAGAATTATTAAATTATTTGAAAC